CCCCATAAGTTGGACAAGCAAGAAAGTATACCTCCCACTATTCGGTACAATACCACTAAAAAATAATTTTCTGAGTTGAGAGCATAGATTAATAATAATTATGTTAAAAGCATTGTTTAATTTATACTATATGAATATGAATTTAAAAAAAAAAATTTCGGTAATTTAAATATTTATCCTAAATAGCAAATAGGAAAACATTTGAAGATTTTACAGATGAATTTGAATGAATTATAAACAATTCTACTTTACCCTTGTTCAATCTCCTCCTGTGATACTAATGAGGACATTTTCCTGAAAGGATTTACATTTAGAGCCTCAAGTCACATTAAAGTAGATTTACATTCAGAGCCTCAAGTCACATTAAAGTAGATTTACATTTAGAGCCTCAAGTCACATTAAAGTAGATTTACATTCAGAGCCTCAAGTCACATTAGGACTAGGGTTATTTTGTGATTTTTAACTCTAGAACCATACTGTTTTAAAGTTAAGTTAACGAAAAAATGCTGCAAACTATTGTAAAGATCAAAAACGACCTTCCTGAGTCGTCTTGTTACTGTCAAGTTTCGTGGAACACCCTGTACTTTAGCGTAAAAATTATTACTAGAGGAGCTACAGCTGGTCGCAAATTCTTTCCAGTGATTTCTCATAAGCTTGATTTTTTCCCTACGTCTAGATAGGATTGCAGGTGAATACATCAAGACAGTGTTCTTTTTAAATTTTATATGTATTTACTTTGTCTGCATATGCAATAAAAGTTTAAACGGCTGAAAATAGACAGACGGAAATACAAACTGAAAAATGTTGAAATTACGTTTTGTATTTAAATCTGATGAATGATGATATATTGATATTGCATTATTAATGTAAGTATTCTGTATTCAGTGTCCGAATTTCATTAATTTAAGCCGCATCAAATCCCCCAAAACCGGTTTCAATTGAGCGCCGGCTTAATTCTTGAAAAATTTAAACAAAATTTGAGCCGCGGCTTAAATTTAAACCGCGGCTCAAATTCTTTAAATTCGGCCTCAACTAAAAGAAATACAACGTCCTGAAAAAGTATGGATAATGAAATTATCAAAACATAACGTTTGATCCATTGTTTTACCACCTACACTTTTCATGAACAGCTTTAATCCTCTTGAAGCAGTGAGTAAAAACTTTAAAAAAACTGAAAACACATTATAATAATAATGATTATATAATAAGGTTAAAAAACCGTATTGTTCAGTGATAAGAAAATAATAATATTAAAAAAACAATGATAAAAATGATAGTTCTAGAAATACAAATATGATATGATATGACAGATATGAATATAAAATTAGAAAACTAAGAATAACTGAGGTTTACTAAGGTTAGGTTTGCTCCGGGTAGGGTAGTTTACTGCAGAGCCTGGTTGGAAAACTTATTAAAACTCCAGACCTAGAGCTAAACTCAATCCAACACTAATCACTAGAATTACTCCTAGCTCAGTAATACTCAGGACAATGAATCAATCTTGTCAAAACTATTTCTTGACAAGTTTACTTCATACCTGGATAATAGATGAACAATGTAAGAAGGAATACTTGTAAATAAACTTCTATTTTATTGCTTGAATAAAGGGAAATAGCATTTTTACTGATCACTGTAGAATATAGAGGAATTTTATCATGAAAACATAACAAGGTTGAAATAAAACTTTGGTGTATTATTATCTAGTCATTATCAAAAGTAAAAGTGTCCAATTAAAGGGATTGTTTACCTTATTCCACCTGCTCGATCCACAATTCCCCCCGGACCCTTGCAATCGTAATCTGAGTATATACTGTAAGGAGGATTTCGTATTTTTTTGTCTCACAAATTTTTTAATTTCCTTCACTTTCTCTGCTAAATAAATTCTTTAACATTTGTTTACATGAAAAGAACCTGAAAAGATAATCACCAATAAGGTTATCTTCATCATTTTTGTCTCTTACACATGTTTAAAGGGAACCGTTGTAAGTTGGTCAAGGAACTCCAGAAATTCAATTCAATCATAACTTATCCTATTGAAGAGATATTGAGAAGAACAAAAAGGTTTTAAATTTCTAATATGTAACCGGATAAATTCTCATAATTGTGTATAAAACCTAAACTAGAGGACCTACGAGGTTACAAAGTCGTACCAGTGATGTCAAATAAATTTGACCTTCTCCTTCTGTCCAGTTTGTAGTGCGAGTGTCTCTTTAAGGACATAAAAACTTCTTATATTTTTTATTTCTTTGAAACTTTTTGAAACGTCAAATATCTTGGTATTTCTACCTAAACATGCCAAACTAAACTAAATTGGACGTAAAATTGAAACGTTGTTTTTATAATCATAACTTTTCTTATTGAAGAACTATTATGAAGATCAAAATGTGTTTGAATTTCTTACGTGTAACCAGGATGATGTAAGATACTTTCCCAAGTGGCAACTTCCAAAGGAAATTTTCCCAAGTGACAACTTCCCAAATGTTGAATTTCCAAAGCGTCAACTTCCCAAGTCTCTCCTAGCCGCAGCGCTCGTCCCCCCGCCTGTTCTAACAGCGGCGCCCCCTAGCCCGTCCTAGCTGCAGCGCTCGGCCCCCGCCTGTTCTAACAGCGGCGCTTGGCCCCCTAGCCCATCGTAGCCGCAGCGCTCGGCCCCCATTGCAGCCTGCGGCGCCTCAGATGGCCTAACCTAACCTTTGGGATGTTCCCACTTGAAAAATTGTCACTTGGGAAGTCGCCCTTGGGAAAATGTCTTTGTGAAAGTACCTAACACCTAACCGGATAAATTTGCTTGTGTGTAAGATCTATACTATAGAGGTTACACTCAAAATTTGAAAAGCCAAATTAAGCGTTAAAAAGTCGCCTAGTCCACACCGGACTAACAAGAGTGAGCAGCATTCGGTTTCTTCTTTTTGAAATCAAACGTGTTTTGGTTTATAATTCAACAATCTTTTACTTTACGAATTTGTTTATTTTATACATTTTCATTCAAAATGCATATGTCAACAAAAAAGTATTTAAGAAAAAAGGCTAACAAAATATGTTTAATGGGTCAAATTGTGATCGAAAGTCACAGCTTTCTGGAATATTGACAGAACCGTTAATTCCACGTGAGTCAGATGTAAAAGTTGGATGGCACCCAATTAGGCGATAACAAAACTTTAAAAATGAAAGACAAATAACTGCTTATATTCAACAAAAAATTGCTTTTTTTCAACAAAAAAATCGCTTATTTTGCAGCAGAAATTTATTACAAACTCCCTCTGTCTAGTTTGCAATGAAATACTTTTATACCATGGATAAAGATAGATTGCGCATAAGACGACATTTTTCATCATGAAAGATATAAATGTACAGAGATGTTTTAAAGATATTCCTATTATATAGATTAACTAGGTTGGTTGTGAACATTGGCTGTTCTTATGTCATCGAGAACTTGTGGTGTACATGAGTTCTGTAGAGAGAAATTTAAGTTAGCTTAGTCCTTGCTCAGTGAAATATTATTGTTCAAATAGTTCCATTCCCGGAGTTATTTTACACTCTATTATGAAATCCATTAAAACACCAAACCACCCCTCTTATCATTGAAGTACACTTTGACTTTACAAATTGTATAAAGAATTTGAGTCTTTGCCACAAAAATATAAATTTTCTAATTTCTAAACCTTTGCAATCCGATGATGAAAAACTTAGATAATTCAAACTTATTTGATCTAACATAATTCATAGTTTGAAATGTCTAAGGTTTACAACATTGGATTGCAAAGATATTGGGATTAGAAAATCTTGGGTTTGTTGCAAAAACTCAATTCCTTTGCTTTAAAGTATAAATAAAATATGAGAGCTGTATCAATATGCTTTTACGTCAAATCAAGCCCTTAGTTAAAAGCCAAAAGCGGCGAAAAGCATTCTTTTTTTTGACAAACAAAAGCGGACTCAGAATTCACGATTTAAAAGGAAAAAAAGAATTATTTTTCTACTGTTTGTAAAATGAAAATGTTGAAATATGCCCTTAGGTTTAAACATCAACAAGGAAATAAATTTAAAATCACGGAATCATTTACAGAATTACTTAACAATTCATTACAAAGTTACAAAGTTACAAAGTTACAAAGTCGTACCAGTGATGTCAAATAAATTTGACCTTCTCCTTCTGTCCAGTTTGTAGTGAGAGTGTCTCTTTAAGGACATAAAAGCTTTATATATTCAATATTTTTATTTTATTTTTATTTAAAATTTTTTTTCCCACGAGCAACGCCGGTCCCTTCAACTAGTATTTGTTATTTCTTTGAAACTTTTTGAAACGTCAAATATCTTGGTATTTCTACCTAAACATGCCAAACTGAAATAAATTGGACGTAAAATTGAAACATTGTATGTTTTTATCATCTTATTTTCTTATTGAAGAATATTTAGAAGATCAAAAATGTGTTTGAATTTCTTACGTGTAACCAGGATGATGTTAGGTACTTTCCCTAAGGATTTTTCCCAAGTGGCAACTTCCCAAGTCTGTCCTAGCCGCAGCACTCGGCCCCCATTGCAGCCTGTGGCGCCTTAGAGGGCCTAATCTAACCTTTGGGAAGTTGCCACTTGATAAATTGTCACTTGGGAAGTCGCCCTTGGGAAAATGCCTTTGGGAAAGTACCTAACACCTAATTGGATAAATTTGGTTCTATCCTATAGAGGATCTACGGGGTTACACTCTAAATTTGAAAAGCCAAATTAAGCGATAAAAAGTCGGATGTAAAAGTTGGATGGCACCCGATTAGGCGATAAAAAAAATCTTTAAAAATGAAGGACAAATAATTGCTTGTACTCAACAAAAAATTGCTTATAACAACAAAAATCGCTTATTTTGCAGCAGAAATTTATTACAAACTCGTACCAGAAATGTCGCATATATTTGACCTTATCCCTCTGTCTAGTTTGCAATGAAATACTTTTACAAATTGTATAAAGAATTTGAGACTTTGCNAAAGTAAGTTATCTTTTTCTTTAAATACTGTTTTGTCGGCATTTGAATAAAAAAGTAGAGAATAAACAAATCCGTAAGTTTACAGGTTGTTGAATTTTAGACCAAAACACGTTTGATTTCAAATAAAAGAAACCGAAGCTGTGAAAAGAAAACGTAAAATTAATTTTGTTTGTCTATTCTAAGAAACCATGAAAGTATATAAGTAGGAGAATACAACGAAATATATATAACAAGCTGGAGTGCCCGGTGTTGCCCAAGAAAAAAAATAAAATTTTGGAAAAATAATTATCTTAAAATAAAAACTTATTTAAAAAATTTGGTCCAGCCGTTTGGCCAGCTTTAGCTGACTAATATACAAATATAAGCTATTTTTATAGATTTCTTCTACCTTAAAAAAGAGCTCTTAATTCCAACCCCAGCGTAATTTCAAGTGACCCTCCATACAAAGATGATGTGGTAGATACAGTCGTTTTTATTCAAATAATTCTTAGGGTTTTTCCTGCAGTAGAAATGCGCAAGTCACTTTTGCAGAGAAACCACAGTTAAAATAATCAATTTTCGAAATTATAAACATTTGCTATCTAATTCATTCTTGATTAGACAAAGTTTTTAAGAGTACCGTTGTGAATCGGGCATTGATATCTTTGCATAGACGGTCACTTGAAATTACTGTCTCTTTAAATCTGACAAATTTCCTGAATTTTTGTCTAATTTATAATTATCAAGATGAGAAGAATAATGAGAAGGATTAAATATTATGGGTTTATGGTAATATCAACGCTTAGCTTTATGCGGTAATCGGTCATTTTAATAATCATTATTATATCCTACTTTTTCTCCTCTTTACTCAACATAATACTCTTTTATTTTTCAAGTAATTAGACTTTCCTTTTAAAGGGACTGTGCTTCTTCTAGCGAATGGCATGTCCGATTCACAATGGTAACATAAGACATTTGTCTGGTTCGAAAGATGGTGTTATTCCTGCTTTTTTTGACTATTTTCAATGGCGGTTCTTTTTAAAATGACTTGAGGATTAATGAGTAAGAGAAAAAAGAGAAAATACAGAGAAATTATATCTTTGCAAGACAGAAAACGACGGTATCTTCCTCATGTCTAATTCCATAAGGGGATAAAGGGTACCGTTGTGAATCATATCCTATTGCTGACTTTTTATTTAAGATCATTTTTTAGAAATACTCCGTTTTATTCTTTAAGATTTTTAATGGAAACTTATAAATCCTGAAATGCACCCCGCACCCCCACCCCCAGTATGTAGAACAGATGCATAAAAAGGGGGGGGTAAGGGCAGTATGTTTGATTATTTAGAAATTTCTTGATACAGGATGAGATATTGATGATCTAGAGAGCATGCCTTCAGATTTGATGATACTGATTCAACCTGTGATTAAAGTTAAGAATATTGGAACAATTCGTGATCAACTCTTTATCTCTGGACCAATATCTCATCCTTGTGGAACCCCAGGGCATCCCCTCTCTTTCTCATTTCGTTCTATATTAATCCGTTCAGCCACTTCTTCAATTATTTCAATTTTTCAACTGGCCCTGTCAGGTTTTATGTGTTTTTATAATTAGCCCTTCTCGGTTGATAACTTAACCTAACTTAACTTATCAAACCATAATACAGAGGGGAGAAGGTTTAACTTCAAGATAGAGAAGATGGAAAAGGTTTAACTTCAAGATAGAGAAGGTGGAGAAGGTTGAACTTGAATGTAGAAAAGGAGAAAGGTTGAACATGAAGATGGAGAAGGAGGCAGGTTGAACTTGAAGGTGGAGAAGGAGGAAGGTTGAACTTGAATGTAGAAAAGGAGGATGGATGAACATGAAGATGGAGAAGGAGGAAGGTTGAACTTGAAGGTGAAGAATTAAGAGAAGAAGGTTTAACTTGAAGGTAGAGAAGGAAGGAGAAGGTTGAACTTGAAGGTATAGAAAAAAGAAGAAGGTTAAACATGAAGGTAGAGAAATAAGAGAGGAGAAGGTTGAACTTGAAGAAGAGAAGGAAGGAGAAGGTCGAACTTGAAGAAGAGAAGGGAGGAGAAGGTTGAACACGAAGGTGGAGAAGGAGGAAGGTTGAACATAAAGGCGGAGAAGGAGAAAGGTTGAACATAAAGGCGGAGAAGGAGAAAGGTTGAACATAAAGGTGGAGAAGGAGGAAGGTTGAACATAAAGGCGGAGAAGGAGGAAGGTTGAACATAAAGGCGGAGAAGGAGGAAGGTTGAACATAAAGGCGGAGAAGGAGGAAGATTGAACAGAAAGGCGGAGAAGGAGAAAGGTTGAATGTGGGTTAATAAAGTTCAAGCAAAGAGTGTTTAACAAGGATATGAAACTAAACCTGAACCCAGGATAAAACACGTACTCCGATATATCAAATCTCCCTGTCGGATATTTTGACACCCGTCCCAAGGTTTTCAACCTGAGCCTATCTAATTAGCTGAGTAAAAAGAGAAGATATAAACCAGAATTATCTAAAGGAGAATATTAAATGTTTTCAATCAAAATATCTCTAGATAAAGAAGAACGTATAATTACTAAGCTGGAAGAAAGGATCGGAGCAAGATCTGATAACAAAACCGTCTCTATATATACAAATAGTTTATATCCCATAACATTGCAATTTCACTAGGGTTGCCCCAGAAAAAATATGTACAGTGTACAGGGTGTTGCAAGACATACAGCTTAAAGGGACTGTACGAAGAATTTCAAGTGACTCTACAAACATAAATGGCAATGCCCGATTCACAACGGTACCCTCGAAACCTTTGTTGAATCAATGATGTGGAAGATATCATCGTTTTTCTAGGTTTAAAAGTTTTTTATTCTGATAATTCATACATGTTTTTACGCAGTAGAAATGTCACAATTAAAAATGATCGGTTTTCAAAATTACAAACATTGATAAATAATTCATACTTTATCACACAAAGCCTTTAAGGGTACCATTAAGAATCTGGCATTGGCATCTTTGCACGGAGGGTCACTTGAAAATACGCTTACAGTCTCTTTATAAAAAAAGGACTTTTAGAAATAATCCCAGGGTTTTGTACGGTGTGGAATTGTGTGAAATAGTATCCATTGTAACATGATTGCTACCAAGGAAGATACACCAGAGCTGGAAACTTAAGACAGTGTATCGTCATGAAACCCAGTATCAGAAACCCGGTTTCATGAATATTTTTGTTACAAAATATTATTTATATATTCCCCCTTTTAGTTTAAATTCTTAAATCATAATCTACAGAAATGTTCAGACCATAAAAATGAGTTTTATTTAACAATAATTTCTTAAATATGTGTACTGCAGTTTTATAAAAAGGACTTTTTTTTCTTATAACTTTTTTGCGGTTACCATTCTAATATGCATAAAAATAATATTGTTGTGACATTAACAATCTTAACCTTATACTATACACCCCCTAGGTTTATTTTACTACTAGATATTTTATGCTCAATCATTATTACAAGGTTACGAAAAGCAAACCCC